AGATGTCAAAAAGCAATGCCTACTTGCAACGGAGGCTCCGCAATGCCTATTGAAAATACCTTTTGTTTAGCTATAAAAGTCTCCATCATGATAAGAACTCAAGTAGAGAACTTGCAAATGGCTAGAAGAAGGCCCCGTTTGGTTCAAGATTTGGAATGCTCATTTAGGTTCTAAAGTCCCCCAGTCAAACGCAAATGGTGTTTGATAACTTTTTTATTCACTTTTTGGAAGGATGCAATTGCATTCAATGCTTCGAACTTTGGCCAATGCAAGGTTTGAAGGTGCTTTGGGAAGTTGCATTCTCGGAATGCTCATCCCTGGTTTAATGAAAATTTCGGAACTTCCCATTTTACCCTCGTTTATCAAGTTTACTTCCATTTTTACGCCTTTTTAAAACAAACCCTAAAGACCACTCTTCTCACGTCTCTTCTCTCTTGCTATTTCACTCTCCACAGATCATCTTCGCTGTGACGCCGCTCACCTCTCTTCACTCACGCCGCTCACCGCTTCGTCGCTGCCTCTCTTCCCTCACGCCGCTCGCCACTTCGCCGCTAGCCTTTCTTCCACGCTCGCGACGCCGCTCGCCTCTCTTCCCCGCTCGCGACGCCGCTCGCCTCAACGCCGCTCGCCTCTCTTCCCTGCTCGCGACGCCGCTTGCCACTTCGCCGCTCGCCTCTCTTCCCTAAAGGTATGGTAGTTTCTCCGATTTTTGGATAACTTCGTGTTGAGCATAACTTGTAAAAGCTTGATTTTGATTCCGTTGCCTACTATTGTTGTTCTTGATGAAGTTCTTGAGCGACGGATTGAGAGTGTGTTATTATCAGACGTATTGTTGCTGATTCGCTTTGCTCAAATCGGTTCTATATGTTCGATTGCTTATGTGCTTTGCTTGGTATTCCCTGTATTGGTAAGAAAGGATGACCCAAAAACTAACGCAAATTCTGGGGAAGTTCGTCTTTTTCAGTGGGTTTCTGGTGCATGAGTAGTTGTGGGGAAGTTCGATTGCTTCTTCTGCTATCCAACATATGATAGTCATATCCACACTTACATTCCGCTTTTCAAGAAACTCTTCGTTAGGCATTTCTTGAAGAGAAAATGAGCTTTCTGTTTTGACATCAAGCCCTGCAGTGCAATGAAAAAGAGCACAGTTCTCAGAAGAAAATCAGTAAGCTACATTAGAGCAAACAAAGATCTCACTTCGATAATGTCTTTCCATTTTGTCCTCAATCACCGCAATTTTATGTTTGTGTAAAGCTTGTAAATTGGCATGTTGATGTGCTGTAGCTGGTGGATTTTGTGCTATTGTTGTCTTCATGATATAAACTATCACAAAAGGTAAGTATCTTTATTTATGCAGATAGTCCGTTTTGGTTAGACTACCAAAAGAGTTATTTTGTTCTGTCAAATTGCTATAATTGCCTTTAGTTCGCGACAATTTTTGTCATACTTAATGTTTTTCATTCTGCTCTGGAAAGTATACTTTTTCCCTTGCAATACTCACTTCCTTTACTTTTAAAATACTTAGATTCTATTTGTGTGAATTAGTCATCTATCTCAACTAAATAAAACTATTCATTTATTTTCTAGACCTTCCGGCGTGACGAAGGACAATGGATGTAGCAAATGTGCTTCACTGAGCTATTATACTCCCTGCATATATGATTTGAGGCATCCGTGGTTAACGAAGGCAACTCGTCTAGGAATATCGAGCAACAAGAAAACAAGCATTTGAAGCGGCCATCAGCAGGCCAGAAAGAACCCTTAATAGTTAGCACTCTCCAACTCGCAACAGCTTATATAGGCCCTATGGAACCTTGGAGAAATATTAACTTTTTCTTGTACGGAGATATATGAACTTGATGAACTGGAAATGATACATGCTTGAGATTGAGACATGAAAATTTGCTTCATTGTATGCCTCAGTAGAGTTGATGAGGTAGATGTTCGTATGCTTTTGTTAAAGTTGACTGCTTTTCATTCTGCCTTCTTGTTATCCACTCCTTTCCAAGGAGGGAAGTCAGAAAAATCAGCATTTACACGTTGAGGAGAGTTAGAAAAATTAGCTGTTATGTTCTGTACATGAAATTGCTTTAAGCGTGTCTCGAGATGTAATGAAACAAAGCAATTTTCCACAAATACCTTCACTTTTATCCACCGACAGATCCACTGATGTTGCTACACGATGCCTACATTACGGAGGTCTCTGTGTGCATTTTAAGCTCCCGAAAGTTCTTGCACACATTGGCATTTATACTGGTTAAATAGAGACAGCGAGCACCTGCACATTACGTTCCTTCCCTAGCTATTACAAGAAGCACAAGTTGACTGTCAGGAAGCAGACTAAAACTCTCTTCTAATCAAATTTGTATGAGATGAGATATCATAATAGTTGTTGCAAGCTACGATCGAACTTGTAGGATGTGATTTTTTTTTTCTATAAATGTTAATATGTATTTTTACATTGCTCTCAACGCGAAAATATAAAAGTTACGATCATTGTTTCTTTTTTTTTTTTTTTTAAAATTTAAAAATTAAAATACTTAATTTGGTTACACCAAAGAGCTTTGCAAATATATGTTTACCAAACAGTCTAGCATTTCTCCAAAGCCCATTTCAGTTATAGTTTACCAAACAGTCTAGCATTTTTCCAAAGTCTTTTAGGCTAAAGATCTTTGCATTTGGCCAAAGGCTTTTCCCAAATGCTGAACCAAACGGGGCCGAAATGAGGAACACTAGTGTGGTCATCTAGAGTTTTTTTTTTATTACGCTAGGGCTCTGTTTGTTACGTGGAAAATGAATGATTTGGCAATCTTTTTCCTAAAAATGATCGATTGCATTGCTTGTAAGAATGAATCGACGGAATATATTTTCATTGTTCACGAAAATATTTAGACATAAATTGTTGTCGATAATGCAAACTTTTTTCATTGACTAGTTATTTTTAGCGATACAAACTATCATTTTCAAGAAGATGGTTTCCAAATCATTCATTTTTAGAGAAATAAAGGGAACTGGGGCAATATAGATGAGCGAAACCTGAATCTGAATAATTTTTCAGCCTTTTTTCGGTCAAACCCTTAGCATATTCTCTCTCTCTCTCTTTCTTTCTTTCTTTCTTCAGAATTTGCACCCTGGCCTCTAATCTCTTTCTTATTCCCTACCAAGAAACCCCAGCCACAACAACTTTTCCGCTTGGAGATGAGCAAAACTCGAGGGGTGTAGTGATCTTGATCTATAAGACTTACGTTAGAGTTTTGATATGTTATGTATAAAAAAGTTATCATAACGCTAGTTTATCGTGGTGTACATTCAATCGAGTAGGGCGTGGATTTAAACAAGAGCTCGACTAGGGTTTCACTTTGAGCCGGTTCACACGAATTTTGGGAATTTTAAGTTCGATTTCGTGGTGGGATTAACCACTCCAAACCGTCTCTCACGAGAGAAAGGATTTTTCGAGCAATACCTTATCTCTAGGGATAAAAAGTGAAACTTCGTATTTACTACAAATGACACATTCTTCCAATTCTTAGTTTGACCAAAAAAGCTATAGGAGAAAAGGAAACGAAAAAGGAAAAGGAAAAGGAAAAGAAAAACCAAAGTAGGGGATATGAAAGTTACAAAAGGGAGAGAAACCATTTGTTGCTTGTAATGGCAGAAAATATGTGAAAGGCAAAAATAACCATCATCGCTAATTTTTATGTGAATTGTAAATAACACTAAAAATTAAAAAAAGGATTAATGCTATGAAAACCCCCAAATTGATACACATGTAATAGGTTTACTCCAAACTAATTTTTTCGATCATCAAAAACTCCAAAATGGTACACATGTGACAAATTTAACCAAAATTAATTTTTTGACTACCAAAAACCTTAAACCGGTACACGTGTAACATATTTATCTTATGTTAATTTTTATTAAATTGAATTAATATCTCGAAAAATTATAAACTAGTACACTCGTGACAAACGGTGGGTATAATCTCAAACTGATACACCCGTCAACTGTCACGTGTCATTCAACTAAAATTTAAGGGAACTAACAAATGGTTAATTTATGAGAGGTATACCAATTTGAGATTTTTAGTGGTCAAAAAATTAGTCTACGTGTAAGTTTGTCACATGTGTACCAATTTGGAGTTTTTCATAATATTAACCAAAATAGACCGAGATAATTTCTAAAAGAATTGGAGAAATCAAATATTATAGACACCCAAAACATATTTATCTGGTTATTGTCCAGAGTGGAGTAAATTAGAAGACACCAAAGCTTCAAATTCTGATATTTAGATTCGAAAATATCTTTTAAATGGAGAAAAAGAAAAATCATGGGATATTCTCAATTTTTTTTATGATCCTTAGTCGAAGCGTGAGTAGGACGCACCAACCACGTAAATTTGACACCACTTTTTTTTTTGTCAAATTTTTTATGGCCAAAAGGTGAATCGCCACCCCTCGCTCCCCATTTAATGTGAGCCCTAAAAAACCAGCAAATCGACCTCACCATAATCCACTGAAAATATTTTCCCGACCAAAAAAAAACAAAAATAAAAGAGAGGGAGGATTATCAAGTAAATACAATAAATGGCATTCGACTCACAGAAATGGATTTATTAAAAAAAAATGGGAATAATAATAATAGAAAAAGACAAAAAGGAAATCCCCAAATTTCGAGGCTGCATTTAACTGTCATTTGAATTAAACTCCCTCATTTCCCACCTCTGAATCAATCAAATAGAAGGAGGAGGAAGAGAGGAAGGGAGGAAGAAGACGACGCAGGAGCAGAGGAGCAGAGGAGCCGGCGCCGGAGGAGGAGGAGGAGGAGGAGGAGGATCCGAAGCCCTAGCTCGGGGGGCCTTTGTCTGCGTCTTCCTCGCGGCTGTCATCTCCTCTCTCTCTCTCTCTCTCTCGCTTTCGATTCCTCCGGCTCGATCGATCGTGAAGAGCCGGTTCCTAAAACCCTAGGTCTTTTCTTCTTCCTTCGATTTTGGGGGGGTTGGGTGGGTGGGGGTGGTGGGAATTTGAGAGGATGAGCGGGCAAGTGGCGGCTTCTTCCGGCCCGCGGAGGACGAGCCTGCAGCAGAAGCGGGGCCCCTTGGCTTCGGCTTCCAAGAAGTCGCTTCCAACGGAGAACGGCAATGGCGCGGTGGCCAACAACGGCAACGCCTCCAAGCCCTCTTCGCCTCCTGGCCAATCGTGAGTTTTCTCGCCCGCCCGCTTCTCTCGGGAGAGAAAAAAGAAACGCGATTTTCTGGCTTATTTAGAAGAAAACAAGAAATGAGCTTTTTTTCCAAGTGTTGGCCCTTGCTGTATTGATGGGGTTTGTCAATTATAGCGTGTCCTTGTTGCGACGGTGACATGAGGGGTGTTGTCATGTGAGCTTGAGCATTATTGAGACATCTTACATGATGATTGGCTCGATTCAGCAATAGCTGAGATACTTGAGAGTTGAAATGTGCCTGATTGTTTCTGTGTTCTTGATTAAATTGCTTCAGTTCCGTTGGGGGAGAGAGGACCGTGAAGAAGCTGAGGTTGTCTAAAGCCCTCACGATACCGGAGGGAACTACCGTTTCCGATGCGTGTCGGCGCATGGCTGCTCGCCGGGTTGACGCTGTTCTGTTGACTGATACCAATGCTTTGCTCTCTGGGATTGTTACTGACAAGGTTCGAACGTTATGATGGAAATTTTCAATGTTTTCTTAAAGCTTGCGCAGAGTTTTTGTCTTGATAAGAAAAATATGTTATTTATGCATCTGTCGGTCAGGATATTGCCACAAGAGTCATTGCAGAGGGGTTGCGACCAGAGCAAACTATAGTATCCAAGATAATGACGAGGAATCCCATATTTGTTACTTCTGATACTTTGGCTATCGAAGCTCTTCAGAAAATGGTCCAAGGTAGGTCTTTTGAACTCTTAAGTCTTAAGTGTGGTTTTTATTTGTCATAATCAATACTACTGATTTTGGTGCTTACCAAGAAGAAGAATGTTCCTGGTAGATGGTGAACTAACTGGTCCTCTGAATTTGAATCTTTTGTGCTTTTATCCGTGGTGATTTTTATTTAACAGTTAACTATTGACACTGCCTGTTCAAGGTTTAATGATGAGAGGGATGTTATGAACTGTAACACAATGATAGAAAGGGTAAACAGTGACCTTTCATAAAGTTACCGGGAAACTTGTTAAAAATCTTAACTCTGCTTCTGCACTATGTGTTATTGTACATTGTAGCATGCACATGCGCAATTTATTCTTAAGGCTATTCGTGGAATTAGAACTTGTAGAGCTTCTTCATTTTGATATGTCTCGGTTTTATCATTTCATATTTTCCTATGCATGTCCTGCTGAAAAATTCAGGTTGACATAACTCATGTTGGAGATCTATTTTATCTATTTTGTCAAAAAAAAGAAGAAAGGAATTCATGGAACATAGTTTACCCTTTCGCTATTTACTTATTTTGAAGTACTTTTTTCCATTCCAATGAACAGGTAAATTTAGGCACCTTCCAGTTGTGGAAAATGGTGAAGTCATTGCATTGTTAGATATCACAAAATGCCTCTACGATGCTATCTCTAGGATGGAAAAGGCTGCTGAGCAAGGGAGTGCTATTGCTGCTGCTGTAGAAGGAGTCGAACGCCAATGGGGAAGCAACTTTTCTGGTTGGCTGATTTTTTCCTACTAAACGAGAATATACCTTCCTGCCTGACTAGAATGTATTTTGACGTAGTCATTGGTGCCTTAAATAGTAGAAAATTTTACATTGCCAGATTAGGAGAGGGGAAAGAGGAGAGGCTGGGGGGGGGGGGGGGGGTCGTAAGAGTTAGTGGGTGAGAAAGATTTTTTTAAACAATTATTTTGCACATCCTCTGTTCTTTTTTGCTCTATTTATTTATTCCCATTAGGATGCTCCTGCTAGGGTGACCTGATAAATGTTTAAGAACTACTTCAATAGATAAACTAAAATTTGGTGTTAAGAGTCCTTAATATATTTTCTTAATATGGCTACATTTTATTTTATTTATTTTTTCATATTTCTAGCATGGGGTAAGCCTGAATTTTGATCCTTCCTTTCTATTTGCCGACAAATCTGTAACTCTTATTTTGTTCTATGGATTTATCTCAGCTCCATATGCATTTATTGAAACACTGAGAGAGCGGATGTTCAAGCCATCCTTGTCAACTATCATCAGCGAGAACATAAAGTACCCCTGAATTGTGAATTTTTGATCTTTTATGCGTGCCATCTTAATGGGCTTAGTTAAGTGGTTTTCTGGTACTAAGCGCATATATCATCTATTTTCAGGGTTGCCATTGTGTCACCATTGGATCCAATCTATGTTGCTGCTAAGAAGATGCGGGAGTTTCGGGTCAATTCAGTAATCATTATGACAGGAAGCAAGATACAGGGGATACTCACGTATTGTTCTTTCCTTGTCTCTGTCTCCGCCTATTATCCTACTATTAGGATAGCTCCCGTTCTCACCATATGATGAAGTCTATTGCTTACGGCTGCTTTTTGCTTCAAATGCAGTTCAAAAGATATTCTTATGCGCGTGGTGGCTCAAAATCTTTCTCCTGAGTTGACTCTGGTTGAAAAGGTTAGTTTTCTGTTCGAGTCTGCACTCATGCTAATCTTGTTTTCCGAGTTAAGTTCGGATGAGTTTGGCATCTATTTTAAAAGTAAGTTTCGGCTGTCATTGTTTTTTGAAAGCAAGTTTCTGTTATCATTGTGGTTTCTGAATCAATTGTAGCAGTGTACAGCAGTAAATTAAGTGGAGTCTGAATTGTTTATCAGCTCTCTTAAGGTCTTAGCAAAATGTTGATTGTTGTTGTCTGAGGCTTAGTTGCCATATATGAGCACTGAGATTTTGCTATAAAATTCAAGGGCACTTACCTACTCTTTTTCTGTGGGCCACCAAATAGGGATGTTATTGGGCCGGTTTTTAGTCTGTTGATGATCACTTTGTTGCTGTTTGTGCAATATTGAGATCATCATTTTTGATGTGCTGCTCATGGTTCTCCCTGCAAACTGAGTCAAGTTTTATTTTGGTGGCTCTTGCTCTTGTGTGGACTTTTACCTCAGTAAAATGATGCATCTTTTCCCCGATGGTTTGGAGTGTTTTGATGGTTTTGTAGGTTGTGAAGACTTAGTCTCAGATTGCAATTTCCTTTGCATCTCGTGTCTGTTACAAACTTGAGACTTTAAGTAATATCGGTACCTCAAAAAATGCCAAATTGTTATAATTAATGAACAAGCTGCCTTTTACGTTTAATTATTTTAGGTGAGATAGGATATTGTTGGTCTAGTACATGGAATCAATCTGATAATTTTTATGGTCTGTCTTTCTTTCCCCCTCCCCTTTTTTACTATTAAATATTCTGGACTTGAGCTTATTTTCTTTTTGTTTGGTGACTCTTATGAATTTGGTGGTACTTCCTTTTTACCAAATTCTACAGGTAATGACGGCAAATCCTGAATGTGTGACGCTAGAGACAACAATTCTTGATGCATTGCATATTATGCATGATGGAAAGTTCTTGCACCTTCCTGTCCTTGACAAAGGTGGGTAAAATTTGTCATGTTTTTTCCAATGCAATTTGCATGAATAGTGAGTTAAATCTTTATTGCAGAGGGGTGTATTGCCGCTTGTGTGGATGTGCTTCAGATAACTCATGCGGCAATATCCATGGTAAGTCTATTTTCTGAAGTAACAGGTGCGTGTTAGAGAGTATTTTAAATATTAAAGCCAACTTGATATGATTATCATTTAATTTGACTGTGGTGCAACTCAAAGCAAATTTTGCTATTGTAGTGCCATAATATTCAAACTTCATTAGCTCGCCATTGAGGCATATTGACCCTTGCCACCAGATTTAGGATTGAGATACTAGTCTATGTGCTAGTGGCCAGGGTTGTCCATGTTTTAGGATCTCCAATTTGGGAAAGATTTATCTGCCACAAAAAAGTTTCAAGCCGAAAGGGAATGAAAGTGATATAGTTAAACCTTCAAACTAGATCAATTATGTCGGCTTGTTTTGGTTTCGCTTTTGGTTCAAATTGCTTAGTCAACACCAAGATGTTCTTATGCATTCAATCTGAAAGAAAGAAAAATATCACGAGTTCCATATCATTCCTTACTCATAAAAATTACCGTGGTTATTGGTTTAATAAAAATCACTTTTTTTTAATGTAAATCATTGATTATTTACTTGCTTTAAATCTGTAAGTGGACCTGAATATGAAAATTCTATAAATAGGTTTGCTTGGTTATTGTAGTTAATTAAGGAGAAAGTTAAACCAAAAATAAAATCAGGTTAGCTGGTCAGAATGAGCCCTAAAAGCTTGAAACATGCGGCATTCCCATTGCTCCGGTTTAATGTTTCCAGCAGAGATAAATTTTATTTTTGATGTTCCAATGATCTGTTGAGCGAGCAGGTTGTTTTTTTAGGAAAATACACTATATATTGAATCATAGTTATTATTTATTTAAACCTGTAGGTCATATGGCAGTATAAGTAAATGACTCTAAGGAGTTGGATCTTTTCCCATCTATTTGACAATATTATATGATTTTGCAAGGTTGAGAACAGCTCCGGAGCTGTTAATGATATGGCAAACACCATGATGCAAAAATTCTGGGACTCAGCCCTTGCTTTGGAGCCGCCAGATGACTATGACACCCACAGGTATCACTTCATATGTAAGAATGAGGTCTACGTGGAATGAGTACATACAATGTAATGCATATACTAAAATTTGTTCAAATTCTGATTTCTGTGAAATGTTATAGTGACATGTCAGCTGCGTTGCCCTCAGAAGGACCAGAGAGCACCAAGTCTGCATATCCTTCCCTTGGTCTGGGAAATTCATTTGCATTCAAATTTGAGGACCTTAAAGGTCGTGTGCACAGGTTAAATTGCGGTGAGTATTGCTAGGAACAACATTTTACAGTACGAATAGAACTTAAGACTCGAGCATCTCCCTCTTCAGGACCAATTAACCTGGTTCGCTGAGGAACAACTTCTATTCTATCTACTAAGACATCATCTGAACAGTTCTCTATGCATGATTTAACTTTCTATGAGGGCATCATCTTTAGGACGGTAAAATACATTGAAGGATCTATTTTCTCACTTCTTAATACAGGACAACAGATTGATATTCATGGGGTTTGATTTAATTGTTGGGGTAAAAATATCATACGGTCACAATTGTGATGTACTTGATTTTTGGAGGGTTTGTTGAATTAATGGTTGTATTGGTTTGGCTATGATAGAACTGCTTAATTCAAAGCCTGCAATTTCTAGTTTTAGCAGCACCAAATGAAGTCTTTCATCTTGTCATTAGGTACTGAGAACTTAGACGAGCTTCTATCTTCCGTGTTGCAAAGAATTGGAGTTGGTAATGATTCGCAGCGACCTCAGCTGTTGGTGAGTTCAAATTGATGTAGTTCACTCTGTGCATCTTATACGGCTTTCGTCAGTCCAATGTGGTTACTAATTCCAATTAATCCATTTGGCATGTTTCATTTGTCAATGGTAGTATGAAGATGACGAAAGTGATAAAGTTCTATTGGCCACTGATGCTGATCTTGTTGGTGCTGTCAGCCATGCAAGATCATCTGGACAGAAGGTATCTTGTTTTCTTTCTCACTGAGGCAGGCTGTGCTTTTAAGCATATCAATTGGAAAATGATGGAACGAGATGGATTTGCCAGATTTAGTTATTGGTTAGAGAAAATCTTTTTACCCTCTTTGGGACAGAATTTCCTCTGTTGTCATTGTGATCATTGAGATACTGATTAGTTATAATTCTTTCTTAAATTTGCCATTCTTCTTCGAGAAAGATTATATTGTACCGATCATTATTTATCTGATTTGAACTGTGAAAGGATTTTGTTGGGATGGTGTTTAGTCAATGTAAGGACTATAGATGTGTGACTCAGGGAACTTGACAAGGATTAAAAAGGAAAGACTGAAACTTTATGTCTGTTATCCTATGCCAAGTTGCAACTCTTAATATCTTCGTTGATCATTTATTGCTTTTGCTATCAAATGCGGATTTGTACCAGCCTCCACTTTGAAGTGTATATGGCTGAGTGAATAGTGATCAGTTTATATTGCTACCTATCACCTTTTTGCATATTCTAATCAGTTTTGTTAATTTTGATGCCCTACCTTCTGTCTTGGTCCTAGGTTGTGAGGTTGCATCTGGATTTTTCGGAAACCAGCCAGGAGCTAAGATCGCCCCCTGCGACAGATGTGATGATGCTGAAAAAGAGCAAGGGGATGTCGGTGGGTTCTGGAATTCTGGCAGGCGCAGTCGTCTTGACGAGCATTGGCATTTTGGTCTACTTAAAGCGTACGAAACTGTGAAATTTTCCCGTCGGAGTTACTTTTGTCTTCTTTTGGGGTTCGGGGTGGATCAGTGAAGCCTGAGCCAAGATGGTTTTTGACCAATAAAACCAAGATGGTTCACTCCATTATCAAGTAATTAATTACTGGATAGATGATGATGGATCCTATAGGGGTGGGTGATGAAGAATGACTTTGGTGGGCTGGCTTCGCTTTATTTTGTTCCTCGTGTAAATTACTGAAATCGAGAAAGCTTACTTCTGGCACTTGAAGAGAAAAATCATATTGACAAGGCCAGAGCTGTTATGATCTCCATTGCAGGGACTATTACTTTTTTTTCTTCATCCTTTTTTTCTCTGACATTTGAATATGAGTAATGTTGAAGACAATGAATAGGTAATCAGATAGGTCTCTCTAGTCTAGAAGACACTCGTCTTTCAAGATGGAAATTTTTTGGCCTCTTTCTTGTGAAATGCAAGGTGAATTATGAGATGTAGGTGATTGTTTTCAGCCAATAAGATATATGCATGATTTTTTCGGCCTGATAAGTGCTCGGAAATTGGTCTATAAAACTAGTAGACGGACTGATGTTGTGGAACTCTTTGGATAATTGAATTTAACTTTTGTAAATGTATATGTTTAATCTGTCGCATCACTAACTACAAGTTGATGTATTCAAGATGAGGCCATGTCTATTCTACCGTAGATCCCTAGCCAAATTTGAAATTATGGAGCCACATTTTGTTGTATAGCCATAGTTTCCTTAAATTTCTGTAACAGTTGCTTCCTTGCAAAAGAATTACCGATGTTCATCTAAATTGAAAGTTACTTTAGAGCATATAGAGAGTCGGGTCAATTTTCTTTACTACAAAGTAAGTTTTTTCCCATAACAATTTAGTAATTTTGTGAGAAAATGACATAAATATTCCTTATACTTTGATCCAATGATCATTGTCATCTTAGACTTTTAATTAATTCAATGTGGTTCTTGAACTATTTCTAAATTTTCAATCTAGTTTGGGAACATTTCATAACAAAGGCAAATCAATCTTTCAATACTATTTACAAGTTTTCATAATTATTACTATTGCCTAGTTTTTAGAATATTTTTTCATTTCAAATTCATTTTCTAAATCAATAAAAGATACGCTATCTTTTTATTAAGTTTTTAATCTTTATATATATATATATATATATATTACTATAGTTCCATTAAAGTATAGTTTAACGCATGATCTTCGTAATAACAAAAATATAACCTCACTTAGAGTTAAATTGTATACATATATATATTTTTTATTTCATCAAAATATTTAATAACGATGTTAAAATATTTATGGATTTCTCGTACTTATAATATATTACTCTAAGGATAAGTGCAGAGAGATTTATTGAACACAGTACAACAATGATACCTTAACTTTAAGAACTGGTTTCCTTCTATCATTCTGTTTTGTTTTCTACTCTTCCGACGGGCTTAGAGAAGGCCTGAAGCCAAACCGTCCATGGGCTTTCACTTTTATTTTATGGAGACTGTAAGCTAAATTATACTTAAATGGATCCATGTTATATTTATAAAGATAAAAAAGATAAAAAAAAGTAATAAAAAGATAGCCGTATTTTCAAGGGTTAATACCATGAAAAACTCCGAATGGTACACATATGATAAATTTACCATAAACTATTTTTTTACCACAAAAAACTCCAAATTGGTACACTTGCGACAAATTTACCTTCCGTTAGTTTCTGTTTAATTTTACTATTAAATTGCTGAGTTGGATGATACGTGGCAATTGATGAGTGTACCGGTTTGGAGTTACCGGTTTGTGATTTTTCGTGGTATTAATCCAATTTAATGGAAACTAACGGAGAGTAAACTTGTCACAAATGTACCATTTTGGGATTTTTGGTAGTCAAAAAATTAGTTTGGGGTAAATTTGTCACGGGGGTATCGGTTTATAATTTTTGGTGTTAAAAGAATTAGTGTGGGGTAAATTTGTTATAGATGTACCAGTTTGGGATTTTTCCGTTAAATTGGATTAATACCACAAAATTAGTACAACTGTGACAAATGGAGGACAAAACCCCAAACTGATATAGCCTTCAAGTGTCACGTGTCATCCAACTCAGCAATTTGACGAAAAAATTTAACGAAAACTAACGGAGGGTAAATTTGTTCAAGGTATACCAGTTTGGGGTTTTTGGTGGTCAAAAAATTAGTTTGTGGTAAATTTATTTCAGGTGTACCAATTTGGAGTTTTTGGTGGTCAAAAAATTAGTTTGGGGTAAATTTATCACAGGTGTACTAGTTTGGGGTGTTTCGTGATATTAATCCTTTAGAAAATGAATTGGAATGAAAAGATATTCTAAAATTCATGCAATAGTGTAATTATGAAAGCTTTTGACTTTTTTTTTTATGGAAAGTTGAGGGGCTAAATTGAACAAAGTGAAAGTTTAAAGACTAGATTGAACATTTATCATTAGTTTAAGGATTATATTGAACGAATTACAATTTTAAGAATGATATTACATATAGGGACAAAGTAAATGAATTATTTGTGTCATTTTTCCTAATTATATCATATCTTTGGTTACATTTTGTCGTAAATGTAATTTTAAAAATTTGAAGTTAGTATTTTTTTACTCGAGGTTGGTAGTTTTCATTTAAAAGAGCAATTTTCATTATATTGCAGGTGTGTGTATATATATTACTTTATTCAGTCATTTTTCTATTTAAAAATATGTTTTCTCTGATCAATGACTCTTAATATTATTATGTATTTTAACAACTTTTCAAGATTGGAAGTAAATTTACAATTACTTCGATTTAATAATTTCTAGAGGTAATCGGTAACTTCCCAATTGAAACGCTTTAAATGATTTTGTTTTGGCAAATTGCAATATGTAGGATTTTATAAGCAAATGTATTATGACAATGATTCATAAACCACAAAAGCCCCCCGTTTGGAGTTTTGGCTTGTTCGCGAAAAGTCACCACCACCAGAAAGCCCATGCAGCGGATCGTACTGTGGTTGAGATCGCCGTAATCAAGCAGATTTTACCACCCTTTGACCGTTGAAATTAAAACCATTTGGAGAAGAAACGAAGAAACGAAGAAACGAAGCAACGAAGCGACGAAGCGAGAGCAACGCACGGAGGAAGAAGAGAAACTTTGAGAAACTGGGTCTTTTTCGTTGGGTAAGCGATCTCGGAACTTTGGTTTCTTCTTCTTCTTCTTCTTCTTCTTCTTTTTTTGGTTTTGAACGTTGCAGATATGGCGATTCCGGAGCATTTGCATGCTTTTTACTGATGTTCATGTTCATGTTCATGTTCATGTCGTTACTTCCAGAGACCATTAATGAACTTCATGTCCTCAAATGTTTAGTTTTGTTCGTCGAAATTAGATGATGATTGCACTACTATCTTGAAGACAAAAAAGAATGAGTACTTCATTAATTAATGGAGACAAGGACATGGAGGAAATCGATCCTTTTGGGTCTTGGTACATTGACACGGGCAGTTTCTTATTTGATTCGTCCAGGCAATGATGGGCTCTTCTGTTATTAGTGATGGTGAAAATTAGTAGCTTACACATTCTCCATAGGAAGCCATTTGTTGATCTCCTTGTTATTGTGGGCAGGCAGATTTTAGTTTCGGAAATAATTTATGGAAATTCAACCGGCGTTGCGATCATTGGGTGTCTCTAAATGAATGTGTTCTAGATGGCAAGTGGTGTGTTGTTTCTATGAACCTACGTATTCCATCTTTGCATCCATTAGATAACATGTCCACGGATGCATGGCTCGATTTAGATACGAGGAATAAAAGAAATGGTTCTGATTAGCCTCTACCGTTCTGTGACCTCACGTCTACCACTAAAGTATGATTTATCTAGAGTTCCATCTTTTATGTTTGGTTTGCATGGAGAACAATGTCGTGATGAAGATCATGTTACCTGATTTGTTCTGCACACAAGTTTTATCCTACCATGTTCTTTTGCTTCGTTGAGTATTGGTTTAGGAGTTTGCTCTTTAATTGGACACTTTCAGACTAACCGTACATAACGGTTGATAGGAGTCTTGGCTATAAATATGGAATTTGAAGATCTGAAGTCCGATCTATATGCCTTGAGAAAGTTATACGAGCTTCTCCAACGAAGTACAGATGGGCCGCTCGGCGGAGATGCTATATATGTAAGCTACTCGTTATATATCATGCAGAATTTTTGCTACTCTCTTCAAAGAAAGAGGATGCTCCTGGGAAGCTTCTTGACTTATTACATCAGTTTGTGCAGTTCAAACTTTGTGGGACTACAATTTTTTCCAATAAGCAATATTCGAGAGATCTTCGGCTTGTCTTGTCTAAGAAAAGATATGTTTTACTCGATCAGTATTGTCGATCTCTTATTGACAGTTTAAAAAAAAGATAGAATAGTTTCTCCCTTTTGGAGATAATTTTTGCCTTCGTTTCCTTTTTCTATAGTTTCCCCATCTTCAAATATCATTCTCAATTATGAGGAGAAGGATAAATCTGATGATAATTTAGTATTAGGGACCTGCAACACAACATTTCCAAGCCGGCAGTCCTTGCGTCTGCAAGTTCAAGACACGGAAAGCTTGATGCTTGCACTTACCAACCAGTGATTTCATATATGTAATACTTTGCATGCTTTACAGTTGGATCAGAGAGAACAGATGCTATTGAAAGATCTTCTGGATTACGCTACAGAAGAAATTTTTAGGATCTTCAGACAGGTTGGTCAAATAATTATTTTCTGTATCTTTTTCTTTCCTTATGTAGTTTGTTCAAGTGGACTGGTAAGATTAGATGTTTATAGCCAGTGAATAGAATTAACAATTCATCATTTGAAAAGTTCAAAGTTTCAAGCGTAGCTTCAACTTAGGATTTGACTTTCAGTTAGATCTTGTACCAATATTGTCCGTCAAGTCTTACCGTGTGATGTGCTTGTGCACAGATTGTATCAGCTCAGTCCAATACCCGTGAAAGTTCCAGTTCCCCTCAGCCGTCGCATTTTACATCTACATCAGAGTCTCTCGTTCTACCTAATCGAACACGGACATCATCTGATGTCATCGACGTCTTGAGAGATCCTATTTTACATGACACTACCCGAAAGAAGGATGAGTGCATGCCTGCTAAGCACACTCCTAACAAATTGGTTCCTGAGCCATCAAAATTGAGCATCTTGTTGAGCAATCAGGGAAGCCAGAGGAAGCAGTGCCGGGTTTGTCGAAGAAACATTACGAAGCAACAGATATCCGGTAAAGAGCCAGAGGTATCGGCCCACAGCATAGCACGAATGGCCGATGGTCAAGAAAGAATTGATTTTCGAGGTGCCAAGGGGAAAGCAAGAAGCAGTTTTAAGGACTATGGAGATGGGTCTTTTACAAGTAAACAAGAGTCACAAAGCCACAAAAGAGTCCTCGACCTTGAAGAAAAAGCAAGGATTGCTGCTCCTGTAACCGTCTCTACAAATTCTGTGTCTTTTGAACATAGAAAACCTAGAGGAGGCAGGAACAGAAACAAATTAACTCGTGAGATTGTCAAGCAATCTGATGGAGCCAGTGGTTTCACAAAAGACTTAACTGATGCCATCAAACAAATTGAAGCCCGCATCTATGTTCTGCAGCTTTATTCTCAAAACGAGGAGTTGATCACGAAAGTAACATCACACAGTGGAACTGGTAAGGCAGTTGGTGCAATTCGTCCTATGACAGAGCCAAACGCGCAGAAATTTACAGGACATATGCTGGAGCATGGTGCATATGTGAAAAATGGGTTGCCGCTTCAGGAGTGGAGTCAGAATGCACATAGCCAAGAGAACTTAAGCCAGGCACGCCAGTTACCAAGTGAGAAAGGCAAGCATGGAGCCTCAAATTTTACCAGTCATCAGACGGGAGTTTTGCTGCAGGACGCTGGTCAGAATCAGAGTTGGAACTTGACTGCAGAAAGTTGTAAGGACTTATTGAGCCAAACAAGCTTGCGCAATGAATTTCGTGGGAAAAAATCCGGGAAGTATGACAATTTGAAACAGGAAGAGACTCTGGTCCCGCCACAAAATGTGAAGGCTATGGTGGAGAAACTGGAGACTATGAGCCAATCACTTAATCATAACAATCACGTGATTAGTGTGAAAAATAATATGGTTCACGGTTTAATGGTTCCGCCAAGTTTTGCTAATGTGCCGAAGAAGCCTCCATTGCCTGTTAGTCAGAAGCAAATGGCTAGAGAAAACTCAGCGGTGAAGTTGGCAAAATCGAGACTAGTCATCCCTCCCAAGTCATTGGGCTCCATTGCGTCCATCAATTCTAGCAACAAGTTCAGAAGCAAAAGCCACATGCCTCTTCATGTTAATCTCAAACCAACACTTATGGACCAGTTCTCCAGTAAAAAAGAGGCGCCTACGCATAGACAAGCGCAAATGATGCCAAAGAAGACTCGTGTAAGAACAAGGAATAAGATGGTCTCTCCTCAGCGAGAATCAGATCGTTGCAGTTCGAGCTCTAGAAGCTCATACATCAGCAGGACCAGCGATGAAACTAGCACAAGTTGCAGCAACAGTGAGGCCTATGCAGATACTGACTTCTCTACTGGATCCGAAAGGACATCGGAAGAGAGCAGCTCTTCGTACTCTGTCCCAACCCGCAATGGTAAGATGGATCCTTCATATACAGTGGACCGCTGGAGAGGTTCCATATCTAGCCGTCCAACTAATCACAAGAAGGGAGTTGGTCGGCTGAGAAGGATGAAGAACAAATTGGGCTTCATATTCCACCACCATCACTACCACCATCACCACCACCATCAAGGATCGTCGGATGACCGGGATAACAAATTGCAAAGACGCCCCACGACTTCCATGTGGAAGCAAATGCGGGACATGTTCCATGGGAGTAATGACAGAGATGCAAATAAAGCGACTAAGTCGGGTAAACACCAAGTTGGTCGTTTTCATGCTCTCGTAGAAGGGTTTCTGAGGCATCTACAACACACTAAGAATTCAAAGGCATCGAGAGGTAACGGTATAAGAGTCCACAAGAAGAAGAAATCCCGTTGGTGGCCAAAGTTGAGACATCATGGCGGGATGAAGCTGGCGAATAGAGGACGAGTGAAGCTAAAGCTGCCTGGTAAAAGGCCACGGATGAAAGCACTTAAAATGTATTAACCACTAATCAGAATTAACAAGTTGTGCCTTCTACAAAACTTCATGTAAATTGATAAGCTCTCATTTTCGTTACTTTTTCTAAATTTATTTAATTTTATCAGATGCATGGAATTTGTTGTAAAATTAGACCTCATGCATGAAATTATCCTCAAATGTCTAAGATCAATCTTCTTATTAAAACGTAGGCTCTCATTCACAAGGTGGGTAAGGGTGTTCGGAAATACTTCTGATCTTCTTGTAATAAAGTAAGATGTGAATTTTATAAATGTTGCCACAGGCACAACCTTTCTTTACCAATTTTTGCATATTATAGGCAATAAATGCTTTGACTATTATTATGAGGACTAAAAGAAAATCCCTCACAGTCGCCTAAGTAGAGCAAGTAATTTGGCTGCAATAGCTCTTCATCAAATGGGAGAATTAAGATGATTCTATTATAAAAATGGACAAATTAGGGTAAATAATTTATGATAAAGCGTTCATCGAGATTCTTCAAACGCCCAACTAATCTCCAATATATGCTAATCCATATTCTACCCCTTTTCGCATATCATAGGCAATAAAAGATTCAACTCCTATTGTGAGATCTAAAAGAAAATCCCACATTCATAATAATCTAATTAGAGCAAGTAAATCGGCACTAACGGGTCTCCTTGATATGAAAGGATTACATTGATTAAAACAGGCAAAATAACATTGAATAGCTTATGATAAGGTATTCATCAAGATTCTTCGGACATCCAACTAATTTCTAATATATGATTATCCATATGTATAGTGTATCCTCGGAATCGTTAAATTTGATGGAACTTACCAGTTCTAATGATGCACGTGAATCAATGGTGCAGGCACCCAATTACCAGCAATGACACCTCAGCGCATTCAGCTGTAATTACCATGGCATACAGATTCATGCTCTTGAAGGTGGTCCAAAACGCACGCGCGTTGATTCCAATTGAAGTCCTAGGCATGAAAGGGACATATGATTATATTTAGAGCAAATGTTGATTCATAAGAACTATATGATTTTCTTGGTACCCTCCACATCTTTATGAATCTTCATTGGCATTATTTTCTAATATCTTAAACTTTTTTGAAGCAAATAATTCAAGCTGGCTCTTAAAATGCATTTATTTAGAATCAACAAGTTGTACCTTTTTTCTTACCTTACCAAAAAAAAAAAAAAACAAGTTGTACCTTTAATGAATTGTCCGTGTAATTCTATAAGGTCTGAATATGTTCGCTCGTCAATTGCTCAATTTTATCAGATGCGATGCTTGTTGGAAACTTAGACCTGGTGCATTGAAATATCGTGGAACGTGCATATAAAATTTACGCGCTTTAGTAACTTGATCTAAGCTCTCCGATGGGATAGAATCCTACACGAAAGAACGAGACATATCGATCGGCTCTTGAAGTAAAACTCACACTCAAATAATAAAAATAAAACACATATGCACAGTGCACACAGAAGACATATCTGGAGAAGAAGGCACCCGAAAACGATTGTTTTATTCATTATTGTGGATATCATGAGCTATTTGAGTCATACACTCGGGGCAGTATAGCAGTTGCTTCCCCATCAACCAACCATAGGAATACTCTTGACAATGCCGCCATTGTCGACATGAATGACCACACGGTTGCAGCAAATGTCCCCGAAGGGAGCGTCTCCCGGACGTTTTAACACGCCCGTCACCACCGGATTCTCCTTCTCGATCGTCGCCTTCGCTGTCTGCGCTTCCACTCCCCTCAGCTCTGGCCACGTGAACTTTGGCGTCGCTGCAAATCCCACATGTATAATGTCAGACGAAACCACTGTGTGTTGTGGGCATGCCTTACCATCCATGATCGAATCCCAAATCATATGTGCGCAAAGAGTTCGAAAGGGTCGACAGGGACGTACCTGGAAGGCAGCACGGTACCTCAGAGACGCAGCCAGGGTTCCAACAAGGTGGGGTAAGGATGTTTTTCTGAAGTCGACATGCTAACAGAGTAGATACAAGAACTATGTTATATCACAGCCACACCACCGCTCTATATATGTAGTACCCATTTTGACGTGCATATATGTTTATTAGCTATATCACCGTTATTGAGATATACACAAGAAAACCCCTCAATATCGAAATCAAGCAAGAAAAATCCGAGTTTTATTGACTCTCCTTATTATAGGAAAACTATGATGATTCTTTTCTTAAAATGAATTTTATATGATTTGTAGCTTAGGGTACAGCTATTTCCACCTTGTATATGATAATCCACTCTTTTTTTTCTTCCCTTTTTTGCTAGATAGACGAAATCGGCCTTAATGGTTTTCCTTAACTTAATTATAGTTTCTTTCCATTTATGGTTTTTCGTCTAATTTAAACTTATTATCTAGTCTTTTCCTAAGTAACACTGACGTCGACACACGACAGCGACACGACACGACACGACATGCCGATACGTCATTTCTCAAAAAAGAATTCCTACACGTTGGGACACAGTGTATATTAATTGTATATTTATATATGATAAATTATCATTTTTATGATTATTTCAATCAAATTAATATGATTCAAATCCACAAATAAATAAATAATAAAAAAAAGAGCCTAGATTGAATTTACATTTTGACTCCTAATTTAATGAAAATGTTTAAAATTGACCCTTGAGTGTCGGAATGGCATATTGGGATGCTGGACTCGCATGTCGCTGGAGTGTCTAGAGTGTTGACTACGTGTTGGATATCTGACACTTGTTGACCACGTGTCAGAGAGTGTTGGACGTGTGTGGGTGTCCAACACCGACACGGAGGCCCCCGGAGAGTGTATGTGCTTCCCAGGTCTTTTCTTCATCATTGCTTTTCATGATTTATCTATTCTCGTCCCTCCTATCTCGAAGCTCACCATCCTGGTGAAATTTTTATTCTTAATTTTATTAGTATAGAGAATATCAAGTATCTTTATTTATTATGTCAGAGAATTTGTGTTTTTTCCTTATTATTGTGAGACGTTATAGAATTTGTAAGACGTTATAGAAGTATCTAGAAGTGCATTGTGAGACGTTCGGATATTTTCACGTAAACATTACATGAATGATATTAACTTTTGTCAATTCGAAATGAATGAAATTTCACAAGCATTTAAAAAAATTCTTATCTTATGCAAAGCTTTGATTTGCTTCGATTTCATCTTCACATTGGGAATGTAATTGTGATTTTGTTGTGAAAAATCCTTAAAGAAGATTTTTTTTTTGTCTCATTTGATCAGCCCATTTGATATACATAAAAATCCTTATTAAAATGTAGGCTCTCTTTCACAAGGTGGGTAAGGGAGTCGAACATGCTTCTTATCTTCCTAATAATAAGGGAAAATTGTCAAAAAAGTCCTAAACCTATTGCATTTTTGTCAATTCAGTCATAAACATTTTCACTTCTTACTAATTCAGTCCTAAACCTTTTCACTTCTTGCCAATTGAGTCCATTTGGCCGGTCGGCGCTGACGTGGCAATTTTTAAATATTTTTTTCAATTTTTTTAATATATAAATATATATTTTTGCCTTTTCATTCTGACCGGTCGTTGGACCGGCCAGAGGGAAAAGGCAGAAAAAAATAAAAAAAAAATATTAAAAAATTAGAAAATTTTTTAAAAATTACCATGTTAGTGTTTGCTGAACGACTAGCGGCCACGTCAGCGCTGGCTGGCTAAATGGACTCAATTGACAAGAAGAAAAAATGTTTAGGACTGACTTGGCAAGAAGTGAAAAGGTTTAGGACTGAATTGGCAAAAATGCAATAGATTTAGGACTTTTTTGACAATTTTCCCTAATAATAAAGTAAGATGTAAATAATGTAAATGTTGTCACAGGCACAACCTTTAGCTTTTTCCGCTCCCACTATGACTAACATACTCCCTATCACAATATTTTGGCTAAATTAACATTTATGGGTCTCACCTTTTATAAGTTGCTTTTCTTCTCTCTTTTTTTACTGTGCCACTTTTCTTCTTCTCATTTATTCTCTCTGTTCTCTCTCTTTCTAAAACACCCCTCTCGTGCAAATAATAGACAAGTTTTTGACACCCGAACATCCGTCACTGGCAAAAAAAAAAAAAAATTGTCCGTCACTGACACAAGCAACTCACGAAGTTGAAGCCCAAATTTGCAAAAATCTCCTCCTCACCCAACTAGTCCTCTTCCACCTATATTTCTTCAACTCAAAGCTTATAAGTGGAAGTAAAGAACTCATTTATATCTCTTCACTTTTCATCCCCATTCCCTCCCTTTCGCTCTTTGTGTTATTCATTGTCCATTTCGCATCAAACTCTTCGATTAATCGATCACGAAGACAAGAAAAACCCCATTAAAGATTCTAATCCAGGAGCTGAAGCCCTCACCCAAATCCTCATCAAGCTCATCAATAATGTCTGTTTCTCTGTCTTCATCTTATTGGTCCTAATCGTCACAGTCATCGCCAATTGCTATCACCTAGTAGCCTCCAGATCCATGGCTCAAATCTGCCCTTGCTCTCACTAAGTTGTTTATACAAACCAAAAATGCCACATTCAAGAACGACAATCCCATCCTCAAGGCCGACGAGCATTTGCCCATCCTCACCCCCGCAGTGTCTCCTACTTCCGCGCCGATCTTGGTCGTCGAGCCACCATCACCGGCGATTGAGAGGGCTGAAGAGGTGATTGCAAACTCGACCCTCAAGTCTGAGCCCTTATGTGATAAGACGGCCCTCAAAGTCTGAGCCAGTTAATTGTTCTGATCCCCGTGTTCTGATCGCCAATAAGAAGTTCAATGCGAGAGCACTTAGGTCTATTGTGTTACTGGGTATCAAACTCCGGTTAAAGATTTTAAAGGGTAAAAGTACACCACAAGTGCCATAACTTGTGTACGGCGATCACTTTGGTGCCATAACTTTTTTTTGGATCACTTTGGTGCCAAGTCGGAGGAAAAGAGATCACTTTGGTGTCAATTTGGCCGGAAATCCGACGTGGCATTTTTTATT